GTAATATTCCATTGTGTGTGTATATATGTGTGTGTATATATATATATATATATATATACCACATCTTATTTATCCATTCATCTGTTGATGGACGTCTGGGCTCTTTCCATAGTCTGGCTATTGTGGGCATTACTGCTATAAACACTGGGGTGCAGGAGACCCTTCGGATCACTTTGGGGTAAATACCCAGTAGTATGGTTGCATTGTTTTCTATTGTATGGATGTACCATTATTTATTTAACTAATCTGTTTTTTAAAGATTTTATTTATTTATTTATTTGAGAGAGAGAGAGAGCACAAGCAAGGGAGGGGCAGAGGGAGAAGCAGACTCCCCACTGAGCAGGGAGCCCGATGCGGGGCTGGATCCCAGGACCCTGGGATCATGACCTGAGTGGAAGGCAGACGCTTAACTGACTGAGCCACCCAGGTGCCCCTTTAACTAATCTATTAATAGGTTTAACAACAGCTTTTTGCTGTTACATATAATGCTGAAATAAATAGCTTTGGGAATATATTTATTTATATTCAAGGAAACATTTGGCTGTTAACTTTTGGCCCATGAGCTACATGTGAGGGAAACTTACTGTATCAGCATTGACTCAGCGTGTCCGTCTATCCACCGCACAAGACAGCATCCTCACTCACTTTCCCAAGGCAGTGTGCTTAACAGAGCACTGTTTGAAAAACACCGTTCTGTGAGTGCAGAACTTGGACTCCGATGTAAGTCCAGTCTTCCTCCAGACATGACCTGGAGGAGTGATTTCTCTGTTCCTTTCCTTTGCCCTGCCCTCAGCATTCCGGCCACCTCCATAGTCAGTGACAAGATGCTACTGGAGTCAAAGGTCTTTGAAGCCCAGATAAATGAGATAATCAATCTCTGCTCTCCAGGGATGCAGGGCGGAGTCTGTGCCTTCTGAATGGACTTACCAGTGCTGTGTATAGAGTAAGTACTTAATTAATATGAAATAAGAACAATAAATCCAGAGGCAGAAGTGATCCCTTTGAAGTTCAGGTCAACTCTGAGCCATCTGAGAAGAATGAATGGAATGGATAATTGAAATTCATAGATAACCCCAAAGCTCATCCTAATACAGTCAGGCTCTTTACCTATTAAACGCTTCCTCAGAACTGCTAAAATAAATCCCTTCCTGTGTTTATTTTTTCATTTTTGTGAGGCAAGTAAAATTGAGCAGTGAAATGACCATCAGGAATGTGAAAGGAGAAAGAATCAGAGTCGTGAGTGAGACATTCATAGATGTCTCATAGGCAACTTCAGAATCACAAAGTGTCAAGTCTGCCAAAAGGCCTAGCTAGTGATGGACACAGAGACCTAGGCATGGGAGCCCCCTAGGGCTCCTCCAAACCTGGGTGGGGTGAGAGTCAGGCTCTGGGAGAAGAGGTAAGATGACTCTCAGTCTATGGCCACCTAGAGATGCCCCAGCTTTGCTTTTGAGGTTAATCATGGATGTCAGCCTTTAGGATGGACATCAGTGTTTCTTTCCATGGGAGGGTCTAGGTGCATTTTAGTTAGAAGGAGTGATCTCATCACATCCCTAAGGAAAATGGAAAAAGAACGCACTGTGTGGAGGGGGATGGAGGTCTGGGCAGCGAGGGGTGGCGGTGGTTGGTGGTCAGGGCACCCGGCTCTGCACCTGGCTTTGCCACAAGCTAATGGCGTGACTCCAGGACCTTGGCGTTGGTTTTCTCCATCACAGTTCCTCTCTCTTTAAAATGAAGGGGTTGAAATGTAGGATTCTAAGATTGGGCCATCTCTGACTCTGGAAACAGCCCCATAAGCCTGAAGAATTTCACACTGTCACTCCATAGGGGGGTTTCAGCAGGAAGGCGGGACAGATGGCTTTCTCTGGAACGGGTTCAGAAATGTGGTGTGTGATGTACGGTGTGAATGAAGCATGGTGCCCTTTAAACACAGCTTCACCCTGGGAGAGCTCTGCACTCCGCTGCGCTGTCTGGCTTTCATTCACATTCCAGCGTCACTCCGGGCATGCGCAGCCCTCACGGGCGGGCTTGTGCACTGGAACACACAGGCACACACACACCCCAGCTCTGACACACACTCGATGACTCATGAACTGACAGGAGCATGACACGCGGGGGCTGATTCATCAGGGACACTCACACACACAGGCTCACACTCACTGTGACGTGTAGATGTGCCTGAGCCACTGTGACAGTCACTCCCCCAGGAGCCTGAGTTGACTGTCACACCAGCGTCTGCAAATGATTTGCGTTCTTGGCTCCTTGGAACTGCCTGTTCTTTGTCTTACTGTTCACTGTTCAACCCTTTCCTTCCCTTCCACCCCCTACGTGGCTGCTTTTGGTCTCTTGCTCCAATGCTCCAAGGCCAGTTCCCTGGCCTGAACCCCACAATCTCCAAACGTCTCTTCCAAGTCTGAGGCTCTTTGTTTCTGATCACTCCTTGGCTGTGCTGAGTCCTTTTCCCATGGGGTCCCCTCCCCTCCCTGACCTGGGCCTGACTTCCTCAGAGGGTCTTGGCTCAAGGGTCTCCAATATCTGGGCCATTGGAGCCAGCGCCCTTCCCTAGATGAGGGGAACCGAGGGCAGGTTACATGATAGAACACGCTGGCAACTTCTGGAGTGTGGTCTCCAGCATCTCTGAGCGCATGCCTTCTCTTCCCAGCAGTCCAGGCGCAGGGAAGTGTTGGGATGTCCCAAGAACCCAGCTCTAGGAGTTGAGCAGGAGCAGCTGTTTCTGAAGGTGCAGAGAAAAGAAGATGCTGCACATCCAAAAGCAGATGATGGGCTGTAGGCCTTGGCTCTTTCCAGGTGCTTACCCCAGAGTGGGGACAGGCCAGGGGTGGGGAGAGATTGCGGAGGAAGGAGGGGCTCACTGAGCACCAAGGTCTGTGTGGGGTTGTCCCTGACCTGCCTTCACCTGAATGTGGCTGCTGGCCATGGTTCTAACAGGAACACAGGGGAACCAGTCCTGGTGCTTGCAGGAGTAGAGCAGTCTCTCCCCGGTGGGTCCTTCAAAAATGAGAGGGAGTATAGCAGAGTCTGGTGACCAGGCCAGGATCAGGATGCTCAGGCACTTATTCAAGGCTTTAAGCATGTCGCTCGCCACTGTGAGCGTCTGCTTCTTTGGCTGTTAAGTGCCCTAAAAGCACTCCTCTTTCTGCTCCAAAGATGTGGTCCTGGGGAATCCGGTGAGATTCTGGCCATGACTGTGCTTGGACAAATTCCTCTCTCCAGGAGAGAAGACCTTCCTCGAGGATTGCGCCTCCACGGCTATGCTCTGAGAGAGTTCACATCTAAGTGCGTGCTAGTTCAGTGACACTGAGAACCAAGGGGCCCTGTGTGCCTAGAGGCATGGAAACTCTTGACTAGCTGCTTATAGCTGAGGGTTGAAATGCCCCCTTTCAACTCTGAAATTTTAAGGATCTGGTCAGCCTTGAGAGCATTTCTCCCTGTTTCTGTGTGAGAACTTAACTCTGACCACATTCTAGCCATCTGAAGGCCTAGAATCTGGAAGGAACTACCTTGCCTTAGTTGTAGACAGAGTCTACCTCAAGCCTGTACCCCTTGAATATTGTCTGGGCCCCTCCCCATTTCAACACTGGAAAAGGCCTGAGCAAACCTAGTAAGAGAGATTTCCCCGTTAACTACTTCCTTGCAACTGATTTGCTGACTTTGGATTTAAAGTTACTTTGCCTAGAAGAGCTAAGATTATCTTGGAGATACCCTGGCAGGCTAAGCAGGTCCCAGCCTGTTTCTGCCAAGACCCCAAACCCTAAAGGGAAGAAGCTCTAAGATGAAGAAAAAGACAGAATTGATCTGAAGATGCCATGTTGGGCTTTCAATAGAAGTATCTGGAAGTTTCCTCACAAATTCTTTTTTTTTTTTTAAAGATTTTATTTATTTATTTGACAGAGACAGTGAGAGAGGGAACACAAGCAGGGGGAGTGGGAGAAGCAGACTCCCCGCTGAACAGGGAGCCTGATGCGGGGCTGGATCCCAGGTCCCTGGGATCACGACCGAAGGCAGATGCCCAACAACTGAGCCACCCAGGCACCCCTCCTCACAAATTCTTAATCCTCTGGGTATAATCTTCCGGAGGACGGGGGACGTAAGGCAGAGACTAGAAAGACCACCCTGTATTTAAATATGCATTGATGTGAAGGAGGACCAATTTCCTGTAACCCAGCAAATGATCCACAGTATAACATGTTTGCACCTCTGTTCCAGATACATTTGATATATGGAAACCTAACATGATGTTTATTGAACTCTCAGTTAAATATTTAACTTATATAGCACTTACCATGTGCCCGGCACTGCCTCTGTTCTCTTCCCTCGGCTTTACAGAGAGATGCGTCTACAAGAGAGAAGCCGGGGCCCTTTCCCTAACTGCCTTCCCTCGGCTCCAGGGGAGTCCTGCGGAGTCATTGTTCTCCCAGCCCCAGCTCCTGGGCCTCTTTTGGCAAGGGCCCTGCGGCTTCTCTTATTTACCCATTAACAATTAAGCTCTAGGCATTTAACATATAAACACAGAAAACATCAGCATAATTACAGCAAAGTTTCAAAAGCTCTTTGGCAAGGAAGGGCCTGAATATTTACTTAACAAAAGAATTCCTGACTTCAGTCCTTAATAAAGAATTTACAATAAGATTTAACTAGCCAGCTTCTCTAGTAAATTAAAAACATTCTTTTATTCACGAGGAATATGATTTGTGCTTTAACACATTGTGACTCACACACAACTTTTCAAGAGAACACTCACAACTTTTTCTGAGAGTTCTGTTGCCCACGTTATCCTTCCAATAGTTCTCACTTGTTGAGAGGGGCCCTTCCTGAGCAGAGATAGACGGCGTGTGTGAGTGTGAGTGTGTGTGAGTGTGTGTGTGTGTCCACACCTTTGGGCCTGAAATTCTATCACTAGAGACTCTTCCCTTTGTTTTTAAGCTGTCTTTTACACTTGGACTTCTTTTATGACCCATGAAGAGTGTTTATTCAGAGTAATGACTTTTCATTGAGTATTTCTTCTGTGATTAAGCCAGTCTGTGAAAGCCCAGAGCCCTTGGGAAGGGGAGGGAAGAAGGGGAGAAAACACGAGTGGGTTTATTAGAGACAGGAGGGACATTCACTTGTTCATTTGTCTGTTTTTTGAGTCATCCACAATGATTCTTATAGTCTTACTATCGGCAGACATTTGGGATACAAAGATACTTAAGAAAATAGGATAGTCGGGGAGATAGCAAAGCTACACAGCTAAGCAAGGTGAAAAGTCAGGGTGGAGTTCCTGATTTTCCTTGGCTCAGGGCTGATGGATTAGACACGGGGACAGTGTTGGGGAAGTTTTCACAGAGCTGACTGCTGAGTTTCGAAGGTTGAGGAATGATAATAATAGAAAAATATAACACACATTATATTTGTTATGTGCCCAATACTATGCTAAGCATCTCACATTTTAACTCATGTAACCCTCACAAAAATACTATAAGGAAAGTCCTATTACTATTCTTATTTTACAGGTAAGGAGACTGAGGTTCAGAGAAGTGAAGTAATTTCTTCAAGTCCCACAGCTAGAAAGCTGCAGAACAGAGATCAGAGCCCAGGGAAGTGCTCATGGCAAGCGCCCTAACCATTAGGAGGTACTACTGTGTGCAGTGGTAATTATTTTTGTTATGAAATACTTCAAATATCTAGAAAAATTCAAAGAATAACATAACGAGGGGCACCTGAGTGGCTCAGTCAGTTAAGTGTCTGCCTTCAGCTCAGGTCATGATTCCGGGGTCCTTCAATCCAGCCCTACATGGAGCTCCCTGCTTAGTGGGGAGTCTGCTTCTCCCTCTCCCTCTGCCCTTCCCCTCTGCTCCTGCTCACACACACACACTCTCTCTCTCAAATAAATAAATAAATAAAATCTTTTTTTAAAAAAAGAATAACATAACGAAGTCCCATGAATCCACCATCCATATCCATTGAATTCTAATATATTGCCTGGCTTGCTTAATTTTTCTTAAAAAAAAAAAAAGAAGAAGAAAGAAAGAAAGAAAAAGAAATACAAATACAATTGAAGTCCCTTTGGATATTCTACCCTGAACACATTCCTCTCCTTCCCCTGAGGTTGTACCTAAACTGAATTTGTGTTTCTAGTTTCCCAGGCCTGTTTTTTTATGCTATTAAGGCCTGTGTATATATCCGTTAACAATACATAACATTGTTTTGCATGTTTTCAAACTTTATATAAACGGTGTCATTTTACAACTGGCATTTACATTACATTTTTTTAAAGACTTTATTTTTAAGTAATCTCTTTACCCAATGTGGGACTCGAACTCACAATCTCGAGATCAAGAGTCGCACACTCCACTGACTGAACCAGTCAGGCTCCCTGCATTCTTCATTCTGTCTTTGAGATTTTATCTATTTCAATTTCACATAGTTCTAAGTTCATTTATTTAAAGTAGCATATCATGAAATAACACTTAAAACAATGTATAGTATTCCATTGTATAAATAATACATCATCTATTAATTCTCTAGCTTCTGAAAATATTTTACTATTACAGACAATGCTGCAATTAGCTTTCTTGGATATATCCTTTTTCTTTCTTTTTTTCCTCCTATGACAATTTTAGAAGGAGCCTTGCTGGGGGGAAGAGCAGGCCATTTTTAGCTTCATCTTGTGAAATTCCACTCCAAAGAGTGTATTCCTACCAGTAAATGAGAGTCCTACTGCATCCTCCCAATATGATCAAAAATAGTCAAACAAATGACTTTACGGTTATTTTAATTTCATTCTCTGATTACTAGGGAAGGTGAACATCTTTACAGTTTTTGTTTGTTTCTTTTGTGAATTTCCTATTTACTTTTGTCCACTTTGATATTTATTCATCTGGTTTTTTCTTTTTTTTTTTAAAAAAGATTTTATTTATTTATTTGATAGAGAGAGACACAGGGAGAGAGGGAACACAAGCAAGGGGAGTGGGAGAGGGAGAAGCAGTCTCCCCACGGACCCTGGGATCATGACCTGAGCTGAAGGTGGACCCTTAATGACTGAGCCACCCAGGCGCCCCCATTTGGCTTTTTCTGATTGATTTTTTTTTTTTAATTTTAAGAATTAACAGTAAAATTGACTTTTTTGGGAGGGTTTGCAGTTCTGAGTTTTAGCACATATATAAATTGTAACCATCAGAACAATAGGGATAGAGAACAGTTTCATTACCCCAAGAAACTATCAGAATACTTTAAATGATGATTTAATTTCTTTACTAGGTATAGGACTATTTGGTTATCTATCTTTTCTCAGGTAAGCTTTGGTAATTTGTGGCTTTCAAGGAATTGGTTCATTCTATCTAAGTTGTGAAATTTCTTTGTGTTGAGTTGTTCATAGTATTCTCTTATTATTCCTTTAATGTCTGTGGGGTCTATAGTGAGAACCTCTCTTTCATTCCAGATATTGATAATTTGTGTCCTCTCTC